AACCAAGTGGTGAACGGCTGTGTGAAGCACCATCAAGCAGGGCATTTTATACTAGTCCTGCCGCCATCAACCCCCTACTTTGAATTAAAAGTATACAGCAGACGACGGGATTGAAGAAATAGTTGTTCTAATAAGAAAAAGTACTGTGGCTGACCAGTGAGAAACTGGCAACGCCATGCCTCTGATGGAAACTCTGGGGCCTTCTGCTTAGCTTCCCCATAGCATTTCCATGGTGTAAGGTGCTTTACAGAGAACGTGCATTATCTGATGTGGATTTTTTTTTTTTTTTTTTTGAGAAGTGAAAGATTTCTCAAAGTGTTTATCAAGAGAAGATGATAGGTTTATGATGATTCTCCCATAAACAAATAGACTGGGGGTTACAGAAAAATACATTCTTGGCTTATGACATGATCAACTTACTGATTAGATCAGTATTTTGGTTAACTATTTAAGTACCAAAAACACCGTGGCAAGAAAGTTTCTATTTATGTATCTAACACCAGATACTTGTATTTTTAAGTAACATTTCCAATAGCCTATGGGGAAGCTGGAGATGTGGGTAAGGGGAAGTGTGGTAAGAGTAATACACTAGATCTGGATTCAGAAAACCGTTCTGCCCCTTTCTTACTTGTGGGACCATTCCATCCCTATTGGTCTTTTTCCCCTCCCTAGATGACTCCTAATGTCCCTTCATCTCTAAAATTTTGTGATTATAGTAACTTGTTATAATGTTCATTTTTCAGGCTTCACTCACATGATTCATCAGAATGCTAGAAGAGAACCAGGACATTCGATTTCCATAGTTTAGAATACCACCTGCTTATTCAGCAGAACTTAAATTCTTTTTTGGAACAGAGAGACATATGAATAAGGTAAACTAACAACTGCAGCTATGCCAGAAACCTATTTTTGTTTCTTAGGGGCTGAAATAATTGTATTTTGAATAGGAGGCAACAAACTACTGTTTCCCATTGCAAAAGGTCAGTGCATTTTCTGCTGTTAGTTTCCAGAAACTGACAGTTTTATAGTAGTCCTATCAATTCATACTAATAAAAATAACTATCTATCATCCCCTATCATGATCCAAAAATAAATTAAGGGGGCTTAAATAATACAGAATTGCATAAATAAAAAGCAAACATTTCCAACAGGAAAATAAAACAAAAGATGAGCATACAAAAGAAGCCAGGAATGAGGTTCTAATAAATCACCATTAACGGCCTACATTACAACTGCTTCTAGTGGAACCCAAATTTGGCATTAAGCTTTCCAACATCCCGTATGAATGAGGAAGTCTACCTGATCAATTACATAATTCATAGAGAAAATAAGATGAAAGCAAAAGCTGAGTGGAAATGCAGTTGCTTGCAGTGGAATAAGCAAAAGCTCCTCTTTGCGGGTCTTTGTACATCTCAAGTTGGAACTACCCTAAGTCAGCTTATTATTAAATCGATCCTTAGACCAATTTGGACATGAAAAAAATAAAGAATTATGCCAACAGCATCCTCAGTAACTTTCCTTAAGTAGATGCAGTGGGTGGGTACACAGGGCTAGTACTCAAGACAATTCTTACTTGAAAATGATGGCATCACAGCCAAGCAGAGAGAGACATCACAGCACGATGGTTAGGAGAGACTCCAGTCCTACGCTGTCCGAGTGCAAATCCCAGCTTTGCTGTGTGACCTTGGGCAGGTTATTCCGACCTGGCTCAAGTGCCTTAGTTTCTGTAACTGTGAGGTGGGGATAACAACAGCAATTTGCAAAGATTAAGCAAGTTAATAAGCATTGTATAGTGTTACCACTTATTAATGAAGAGCTTAGCAGAAGTAATTGGGGTTGGTACTGCCATAATACAATTCAGTATCTAGCTCTACACTGATCTGACTTGACCCCATAGATTTTTAGAACAGTGCTGTCCAAAACTATTTCTGCAAGAATCTGTGCTATTCAATACAATAGCCTCTTGTGGCTATAGAGCACTAGAAATGTGGATAGTTTTGCTCTCAAATGTAAAATGGGATTTGGGTTTTAGGCTCAGATAACTCTGCTAATGAACAACTAAATTTCTAATTTAATTGAAATAACTGCACTGGACAGCACAGATACAGAAATTTCAGAAAGTTTGAATAGTACTGATCTATAAATATCTTCCAAGGAATATTCTCTAAATACCATTATAAGTTTTTGATTGGCATTTGGCAACAAGGACTCCAGATTGTATTCCTTGACATCTAACTGGAGAGTGGCCACCTCCACTGCCATGTAAACACAGCCCCTATGCCTTGGGCTGTGGACCTCCATTTCTGATGTGCAAAGTCCAAGGTGGCTCAACAGAATGCCCACCTATCTGTGCTATGAGGGAAGCCAAGGAGGTATCCATGGCAAGGCCAAGATCATCCCTAGGAAACTGCTTTGAAGCTACTTCAGAGCACAAAGAAATGGGCTTGATCCCAGAGTTCTACTTTGATCAGCACAGTTGGAACTGTTTGGATTTGAACAATTTTATTTTTTATTTTTATTTTTAAGATTTTACTTATTTATTCAAGAGAGAGCGAGAGAGCACAAGCAGGGGGAGGGGCAGAGAGAAGCAGGCTCCCTGCTCAGGACCCCAAGATCCCAGGACCCCAGGATCATGACCTGAGCCAAAGGCAGATGTTTAACAGACTGAGCCACCCAGGTGCCCTGGAACCGAACAATTTTAAAGGGTAGTTTAACCAGATGCTGACTTCTTCTCCCCGCACCCCACACCCAGTGTTCTATTAACTTTGAGAAATGCTATTTCCTGGTGTACCCTCTAAGATAAACTATTTGGAAAAGGTACATCAAGATGACCAAATGAGAGAAGGTATAGTATGAATATGAGTCCCAGATAAAAGTAACAATTGCTAAAATCAATATGATGATTTCATATAAGTCATGTAATATAAAGGCAAAATAAAGGGAAAGTAATGGATAATAAAACGAGTATTTTGATATATAAATGCATAGGCACAGCCACACAAGAAGCAATAAAGTTATCAGTACCTATATACAGAACTGTGTTGCTAACTCAATTATAACCAGCAGCACTGGTAACAAGATTCTTTGAGACAGGTGCAGTTCTTGGTCAAGTTTTAACAAAATAAAGTAGAATCTTCCCTTACTGATCTCATGGTTGTATTCTTGGAAAATTCAGTATATGTTAAAACTCTATAAAAAAACGGATTTGGGTTTAAGGCTCAGGTAACTAAGTTTTTTTTTTTTTTGAATGTTCAACAGAACATTCAAGAATCATGACATATGGAACAATTCTTTGTCGTGCTACACCTTCCCATGTGCTGTGGGACATAAAGCATCTCTGGCCCTGCCCAGGGATTGCCAGCAGTACCTCCAATCATTTCTAAAACCATTGCTCCAAGCCAATCACGAGTTCTACCACTCCCACCCTCACCAATAACTGGCTCATCAATCCAGGCTTCACTGTCAGGGCAGGGCCATGGTTGGTTTGAGAATAGGGAACGTGACGTAATGTCAGCCAATGAAACACAGAGGAAGTTTGCTGGGGGCCTGGCAGGAAGTTTCCTAGGAGAAAATCACCAGGAAAGACAGTCTCTTTCTTTTTCTCTTCATGGTTACAAGTGGATGTGAGGACTGAGAATTCTAAACTCATCTCAGAAGTAGCTGGAGGATGAAGCGAACAAGCAGGAGGGCAGAGCCAGAAGCACAGGAAAACAGGTAAATTCGGACTGTCACCCTTGGGGGTCTGCTCTACCTCGAGACTTCCAGTTACATCCATCAGTAATTTCCTATGGTTTAAACCACTTTTAATTTGGGTTTTGGTTTCCTGCAACTGAAAGCACTTTGATACATACATGAACAACTTCGCAAGACAAAGAATAAGGCCTGGTTGAAAAAAAAACAAAAAAACAAAACCCAAAACAACAAAAGGTGAATATTGTTCCCGGACTTCTATACCAAGTATACACCAATTATACTTTTTTTTTTTTTAAACCTATGGTAAATGAGCCTGCATGCTCTTATGTAAAGGAGCTACACCGTTCATGACCGTGCAATTCTTCCATCAAGCCAACAGGCATACCATGGAAGAAGAATGACCAACACAGTTCACACATGCAATCTGTTAGAACACGTGAAAGGTAAAAAGCTTTTAAATCTAAAAAGAAAAAATATAGCTACAGGTGAAAAAGTAATACTGTCAATATGTGTGTACAAAGAGTTCTACACAACATAGGAGGCACTGTGGACAAATGGGTAGTAACATGGATTAAGCCCCTGCTCTCATGAAGCTTGTAATTAGAGACAAATGAAAAAAAAAAACCACACGTTTATTTAGTACGGTAATTGATGAGGAAATAAGAGGCAGAGAAATGGGCTGTCAAGGCTAACTAGGGAAGGTCTTCTGAACATGCCAGAGTTAGACCTTTAATTTTAAAGGCTGGCAATACTGAGAGGATGTGGGAAATGGTGCATTATAGGAGGAGGAAAAGTTTTTAGGAATGTGGGTAGAAAATTTAGTAATGTATTGCTGTGATGGCAGCAGGCAAGATTCTAGATGACTTCACTGTCAGGTGCATGACAGACAGTGGGGCAGAAGGAAAACAGAAACTTCTAATTGGGGATAGAGCTTCAGCTTGGAATCCCTGTTCTACTATGACCTATCTGTCTGACTCTGGACAAGTCACAACCCTCCCTGTGTCAGTTTTCTCACTTTACAAAATGGTAAAATGTAGCTTGGGCCGGGGGGCTGACCGATGGCATGAGATGAGGCATGTTAAGTAAAATACGCAATAGAAAGGTGCTTGATCATGGTAGGTAACATCACTCTTGAATCCACAGGCAATTCACCCAAATTCGTTTCAGAGCACTTACAAGGCAAACATATGTGAAATTCAATATACCTGTTACATCAGGTTTGAAAAAAACTTTTTTTAAACTGGCAATTGCAACCTAATACAAAGAGCCCTAAATTAAAAGAAAACAATGACACACTAAGAAAATGGGTTGTGATTAAGATACTCTAAATGCATTTATTGGTAGTATTACTGAATGCTGAATGCAGAGATTAAAATACAAAGAAATCAGCACTTAAAATCTTTAAAAAATGCAGTATCTTTACATATATGTTAACCAAGTCTGCTTATCAAGATTTACAAACATAAAGTGAATTCCAAAGCTTTCATTCTGAATATACTCTGATTTTGAGTTCTAGTGTTCTCCATTCTAAAGTCGGCTTTTATTTTGCTGTATTTTACCAAGTACGATTTATTTTGTTTCTACCCTAAAAACAAGACTCTGTGAGCTGATCCTGAAGCAGTCAGTTAAATCAGGAATTTTTAAACAGCTCTTTAAGAGAGGATAAAGCCACACGAAAGAAAACACCTCAATCCTACATATATAAATACAAGAGAAAATAGCAAGAAGCAACAAGAATCACAGAAATGTCAATCCTACTCTAAAGTATAATTTCTACCTGTAGCAACAATTCAATTAGCAGTAGCTTAGACACCTTTGTTCTAAAAAATAAAACCATTAGTTCTTTCACTACAATTTTCTGACTATACTCAGTGAATAATTATCAACTCTTTATATACTTTTTAAAAACTCAAGAATATGATTTATACATAACAGACTCATTAACAAAAGAGGCTGAAAGCTGCAATACAGTCTGGGGACTAGACTTCACTTTACATAATATTACCATCCGTAAAGAGCTGATGGCACCCAGTACAGTAGTGCTCAGCACTGTTACCTCAGAAATGCTCCATCCACTCTTGCATCAGAGAATTACTGATATGAATGAGACTGTTAAGACAATTCTAACAGGGCCTCTAAACAGGATTTCATATAAAATGAAATAATTATCAACTATTTTACAGTTGTAACAACACAGCTAGCCTGTAGCACTGAATTTTTCACAATAATAGCACTACAGAATTACAGTGACAGATGTCAGAATTATCTTTCTCTGCTAACTACTGAGTCGAAAAAGAGTTTTCTGACTATATTTTTGATGAACAGGAGATCTTTGATATAAACACTAGGGGAAACTGGAAAGTGAACAAAATGAACTCAAGGTCTTTTTTCACAGATATTAACAACAAGCAAAGCAGTTTACAAAAAAAACCCCATCAAAACTATCCTATGAACAAATAAATATCAAATCAATCGTTTTTGAAGAAAATGTAGCTCATTTTCAAAAGTTCTGTTCAGTTTGTAACTAGACTTGAAAATATTAAAATAAACCAAACAGAATCCCACATACTGGTTTGCTATACAGGATGTGAAAAAAGCACTTCAAGTTTTAAGCTTAATGTTTCATTCTCTCCCCTATTCCCAGAAAAGAAAAAGAAAAAAAGGGGCTCTTGCAAAAATAAACAAAACCTAAATCAACCAACTAACAAAAGGTAATCACATAAGAAAACCTTTCTCTCTTTGAGCACTTCACTTTAGTTGGTCCCATATTAGGGTAAGGTTTCTGTAGCAAGACTCCCTAGTCTCTTCCTTTATCTTTCATTCTTCAGTCACCTCCATGTTTTTATCAAACAAGGCTATGTGAAGGCTTTCCTAACAAGTCGGGCTGAGTCAGAGGTAGCTTTAGGATGAAGTATACTTGACTATGGTATGTGGTTAGTTCAAATGAACACGTTGTTCGAAAAGGATTACAATACATAAAAATGCACAAAGAAAAAAATGTACAGCCCTCACTGCCTTGCACTAAGAGAAAACGTTTGAGAAACTCAGAACAAACAGTGGAAGCCAGGAAAGAGGCACTGGCCCCATCCCCGTGGGCTCCTTTAATGCACCAGTTCAGGCTGGTTCTCCACGAAGGGGAGCACCCCGCTCACGTAGTATGCAATGCCAAGGGACAGCAAAGCAATGACAAAGATCAAGAGCAACACCCTCCAGAAGCCCAGGTCCTCGACAAACTCCTGCCATGTGGTTCGGAAGCTGGACAGGACTCCTTCCCCTTGCTGCAGGTTGGGATTGAGGAGAGAATGGCTTTCCATGGCACTGTGAAAGGAGCAAAGACAAAGGAAAGGGGCATGAACAACACATTCCACCCATTTCAGAAAGATACAACAGCAACCACGTTACTTAGAAAAGACAAGACACAACATTTACAAGAAGAAAACTGACAAATGTGCTCTCATACATTCATGTATTGATGTATGTACCTGGTAATCTACCTTCAACTGTCAATTAAGCTGCAATGATTATGTTTCTTGGTTTAGTATCCAGTAAAGTCAGAGTTAAAAATCCTTTTCTAATGAAAAGGTCCCAAGCAGAAGTCTTGACTGTAGGTCAAATGAATTGTTTCAAACTCCTAGTATCTAAGTAACCAAACTGTGGTTACTTTAAATTTAGAAGAATTCAAAACAAAGATTCATAATTTAAGAATTCATGTTAATGAAAATAAGCAAAGATGGGTAAATCTGTAAATGATTTTTAGAGTCACTTTTATACCGTGTGTGAATCTTAAAGTTAAAAGGGAATTTTCATTAACTCAGTTCAATTATCTGACCAATAAAGGAATTACTTCCTTTAACTGTAATCCTCTAAAAACAGACACTTAGCTCAGTCTGTTGTACATCTGAACAGGCCTAGCCATTAGGAATTCTTCTTAAGAGCTTCCTCCAACTGGTGGCAGTTCTATCTTGTACAATAATACAAAATAGGTTTATCTCACTTCTGCATAAAGGCTGAATCTAGTCGAAAATAAGGTACCACAAGCCATAAAAACAATGACTCTTGATTCTGGTTTTCAGAACTCTATCAACAAGAAATATGACCCTTACAAGTAGAAAACAGGGTATCTGACTTTGGTATGCGGACGGCCATACTGTGATGAATTCAAAGCTCAGAGGGATTAGCACCCACAGTTATGTCACAACATGCATGTCCAATAACAGGGTATCATTTAGATTAATGCCACAATGACCATAATTCTATGTATCAACTATCTGTTGCTTATAAAAGGTAATTTACCACCCTTCCTAAACCCTTTCTCTTCATATTCTTCCAACCATCTGGGCATAGGACAATGGAAACAGAATAAAAGTGTCTTACAGTCTGGTTCATCATGCAAAAACTGGCATTTTATTTAATCCACAATTTTACTTTACTTCTTGACACTTAACCAGACATCCTTCAGCATTTACTAGTATTAGAGGTCTTCTCTCATCATAGGAAGCTGACTTCCTAATAGGCCACTCTGTTCGATACCTGAGCTTTTCTTCTTTCTATATTAAAAGATGTTTATTCCCTAAATAAGAAAAGACATTTTCAGTGGGAGTCTACATGAATACAAAAATTTAAGAAAACTGAAGTTCAAAAATAAGATTGGAACTTTGGGAAGGTTTAAACACATAATACCATGAATATAAAAAGAAGTTCAGGAGAGGTTAATTTTGACTTGTATGAAATATATTGACTATGTCCGAGTTGATGTGATCTCATATTCAAAGATGTTAGATATAAAATGAGGATTCAGCTGAGCAATCTCTAGGAGCTCATGAAGCTCTGCCAATCAGAATTTTCCATAGTGACCTTATCCAGTGAAATGTTTTCTAATGAATGTGCGTGTGCAATATTTTTTTTTGTACGTGTGTCATCTACACTGTCTTTGTCATCCTATACCCACAAATTTAAAAATAACTAAACTAAATTTGGGATATATGGGGGAGTGGGAAAATTTCATCATCTTGATTTATAGGCCCTTAAGTTATGTCTCAGAGAATCCTAAGAGTGATGGAAAATACTAAGTACATTCAAAACTTGCTTAATGTTCTGCTAATCATCACACAGCTTTGCCACAATGCCACGTACTAGCCAATCCCATTAAGCTTTATTCCCTTTTTCTATTGGTATAATTCACATATAAAATTCATCTTGTACAATTCAGTGGTTTTTAGTATACTGACAAAGTTATACAACCATCTCCACTGATTTCAGAACATTTAATCACCTCTATAATCAACTCTGTACCCTTTAGCAATCACTTCCCATTGCCCCTTCCATCAGCTCCTGGCAATCACTAACCTACTTTCTTTTTGCCGATTCTGGGGACAATTCATATAAACAGAATTATACAATATATGGCTTTTTTGACCAGCTTCTTTTACGGAGGATGCTTTTATTTATTTATTTTTTAAATGAAAGTGTTTTAACGGAGGATGCTTTTAAAGCTCATCCACGTTGTAGCACCTATCAGTAGTTCATTCCTTTTTATGGCGGAATATTCCACTAGATGCAGAGATGACATTTTGTTTATCCATTTATCAGTAGATGGACTTTTGGGTGGTTTCCACCTTTGGGTATTATAAATAATACTGCTATAAACATTCATGTACAAGTTTTTGTGTGAATCCATGTTTTCAATTTTCTTGGGTATATACCTAAAGTGGAATTGTTGGGTCATATGGTAACTCTGTGTGGCTCTTTGAGAACTGCCAGACTGTTTTCCAAAGCAGCTACTCTACTTTACATTCCCAGCAGCAATGTACGAGGGTTCCGGTTTCTCCACGACCTCACCAATACTTGTTGTCATTCCATCTTTTTCACTACAGCCATCCTACTGGTATGAAGCGGTAACTCGCTATGGCTTTGCTCTGTATTTCCCTAATGACCAATGATGCTGTCTTTAAGTTTTTTAATTTAAACTTCAACCATCACATGTCTACCATGATACTGAGGGGTACGGCAGCCAAGGAGTACAAATATTAGTAATTCAATTTTTTTAAGAACTGGCTTTACCCAATGCTATAAATAATACAAATCCTTATGCTAAAGGAAATGACAGGTATATGAGAGAAGCAGGAGTAAATATTTCATACGGAGCAACTCAAATGACTCATTATTTCTACTACTTAGTAAGTAATCACAACCTAGGCAAGATAAAGTTAAAAAAATAAATAAATCTATAATAAAGGGAAAAAAAAGTATATTTCTGATAAGGAGGTGCCAAGACACTGGCTATTCACAAAATATAGCAAGCAAGGTCCCCAGAACATACCGAGCAAAAACACATTCTTGGACATTTTTCATGGTAAAGAAGCTTAAAGTATTTATGAAAATAAATTTCAAGTTATTTTGGAAGAACACGATCTTTAACAAATAATAGAAAACTCAATGTTAACCATATTGCTTATGGCATTCCGTCAATCCAGAGTACACAGGTGAGAGAAAAGGGCTTGCCAATATATCTTGGACTTCTTGCTTATTTTATCTACTTGTCAGCTTTCAGTGATAACTCATGACCAGCATGCACCGTTCTAGAAGTAAAGCTCTAATTTCTTTGGACAGTAGTAAGTTCTTGAAAGTATCTAAACAAATAGTCCTAAGCTTGAGAATGGAATTCATGGTTCCCAAAGAGTACCAGCCAGCAAATGAAGAGGAAGGAAAGCAATCACCAGTACAAAGGAATCAAATTAAGGGTCAACTATAAAAAAAAAAAAAAAATAGAGGATTTCAATTAGAACTCATAGAAACAATGATCCCAACAGTATAAGTGGACCATATGGTCCTATTTCCAAGTCCTGATCAGTCAAGCTACTGGGTCAACAGCTAATGAGGGCCCCTGAAATATATTCCACTGAAGATTTTGGGAAGAGACAATAGTAGGTTCATCATCTGTCCTACCTTGTAATTATCTGGAAGGCTGAAACTCCGTGGCAATCAACCAGACTCCATGCTAGTACAACTCAGTCTGGACTATGGACTTTACCTGTGGAGCTAGTGGGGCCAGGAGAAAAGACGATTTGTCACCTTTGCAGAGCTCCCTGAACCATGTTGTAAACTGCTTCGAGACGAGAAATGACGAGATACTGAAGACCCTGTCAGTTACTACATCTTAGCATCAGTTACTTACAGGAGCCCAAATTTCATTTGTTCCACCTCATGGGAAAGTGTACTTTCACTTTCACATTACTGAATTGTGTGCTAAATCTTCATTTCTTTCTTCCTGTTTTACTTTTCCTCAGCACTCCGCTTTCCTGCCTTTGAAATGGCCTTTTTGGTCTTTTCTAATACTATCCAAGTTTCTAGCCTTATCTTTCTCCTCCTTTCTGCAGTTCCATTTGGCTTGTGACCTGCACTTAAAATTCTCAAACTCCTGCTTCCTTCCCCCACAACCAGCTCTTAACCACCTCTTCCCCCTTGTGCTGACAATACTGCAGCCTTCCTTGCACAGGGACTAAGAGAACATTACGTGCATGTGGGCACGTAGTACTTTCTGTTAATAGCTTCTCAATTGTAATCTGGAGCCATACGGACCTATATAAAGTTCAAAGAAAGTATCAAAGCTCTGTACTTGAAAGCAAATAAATAGAAAGCTCCCAAAGTTGTCATAAAAGATCCAAAGACTTAAAGTGACTTGCCCCTTAAAAAACTACATTGTTAAGTACCTTTCACTCTCAGCTGTCTGCATGGTCTCCAGTTTTGAGTGAGTTCCTCTGTTAAACCCTTTTACCTCTTGTTCTTCCAAAGATTCCAGCAATCGGATGACATCTTTATTCACTCCTCTGCGCTTTGCCAGAACCAAGGGTGTAGCACCTTGATGATTACTAAAAAAGTTCATAAATATAAAGAGGTCATCATAACAGTTGGATTATATTGTTAGTACCCACTTGTGGAGATCTCAGTGACAAAGGCATGGGCCGAATTAACTCAAAGCCCAGAGCAGAACCAATGGTTGAACTGGAACTTGAATTCTGAGTAAACCTATTTTTTTTCCTTATAGGGAAAGAGGAAAAAGAATATAGAGGCAAAAGAGTAAATACATGAGAATAAATAAAAGAAAAAGAGGACATTTTCTTAGAAATTAACTGGAAAGTTCTAGATTCTAGATTCATTCTTACCTGACATTTACATTTTATGGCAATAGAGCATATTGAAAAAAAGAAAAGTCTAAGAATTAAAAACAAATAAAAGCCCAAAGCAACCAAATAAGCTGCTTTGGTTCACCTACCTATTTAACACTAATAAGAGAAGACAGCCAAGTAATAGTGACTCCCATAGCCAATTCCCACCACATTTGTCCATCACATTTACTGTCTTTTTCAGATTTAGGGACCAGTAAATCACGGCAACATGTAAGTGTAGTCTAAATGTCAAGCTCAGTTTTAAAGATGGTCTCACATCTTTTCCACTCTAGAGACAAGGTATCACTAAAACAAACCCTTCTTCAAACTGTTCAGCATAAAAAGGACTCTGAGCCCGAGAGATTATGAAGCTAGCATGGTATATTATATGACAGAAGACAAACACTTTGGAATCAGGCAGAACTAGGTTCAAATTCCAGCTGTGTGACCTCTTTGTTTAAACCCTTCTTGTCTCAACTACTGCATCTGTAAAATGAAGATAACACCGACCTCAAGAGCTATTCATTCTAAGGATTAAATGAGCTAAATAAACACAGTGCCTGGTCCATAACAGATTTCCAGCAAATGTTAGTTCTTTTCTTCTTTTTCCCTTATCTGACAATACACAATTATTGGTAGCAGAACCTCACCACTGTTTTCATAGAAAAACCTGCACTGTTTCGGCATAAATCTAGAAGTCAGTCTCTTGTTTCCTCACTCCCCTAACAAGATTACCTTGTCCTCCATGCCTTGTGGAACTTGTCACTGCAGATGATCAACGAGAAAGCAGAATCGACAGACTCTGAGACTGGACCACTGGCTGACAAACTAACGGGAAGAAATGACTAGATTTCAAAAACCACAGAGGACTTACCAAATATCAATTTTGAGTCCATTGGAAACTAAGAACTGAATAGTATCCACATGGCCACAGAGATGCAGGGCTGTGTTTCCTTGATAATCTGTGGCCAGAAGATCAGCACCAAATTTATGCAACAGTTGGCAGATGTCAACGTTCCCTCTAGCTGCTGCGAGGTGAAGGCCTGTTCTGCCCCTGCTGTCACGAATATTTGGGTCAAAGCCACTTTCCAAAAGCCGCTTGGAATAGTTAAAGTCTCCATCAATACAGGCTTGTAGCAAGGGCACATTAGTCTGAGACGAATCATTTACAAAAACGTAGGACATTATTCTGATGGAGCAGATGGACTATGCCTGTAATGAAATATGAGGTGAGATTCGGTGAAGCCAAACTAAATGAAGACAATGAAGTCATTTAGAGAAGCACTATTTCTTACCCTTCTTGGCCTCCTGCCTCTAATAAATTACCTCACCAAACAGAAACAACAACAAAGTTTTCAATTATATTTTATTTCTCAATAAAATGTCTTATTTTCTTCATATCTACTTGATCAAAATTGCAATTAAATTACTATAAAGCTTTATTTTGCTTTTCATTAAATAAAAAGATTAAGAGATTTTTAAAGGTAAGCAAAATATAATCACTTAAAGTTTATTGCATTGTCAGAAGACATACATAACATGATCCGTAAACTTCAAACACACGCTACTGCTGGTAGAGATTCTTATTTAAAACAAAGTTAACTCTCTTTCACATATTTGCCTTTTATCATATTTGATATATTCTACATAGCTCAAAAGTTAACTAAATCAGCAAGAAAAAACAATGAAATAAATTAATTCATATTCAATAAAGACCTGCTGAATGTTCTGTCTATAGCACAAACTTCAATTTTCAGGGGAAGGAGAAAAGCTAAGAAAAGCAACAAACTGAATTTAAAAATTGCAAATACCATGAAATCAATTCAGACTGTCTTTTACAGTATTGATTCTATTCTGTGGTTATCTAAATATCTGATTTTGCCAAACTCCCATTGTCTGAAGACTGAGAGATGAAGAAAAACAGGTCTGTCTGGGAATTCAGAAGCAGGACAAAGGCAGCAATCCCAGCTGTGTCCACCCTACAAATTTCATCCATCTGAGTAACCTAGCCTCTCCAGCGCATCCACACCTCTTTCACTGATACTTCCTTGCCCCAGCAGTCTCTTCGTCTGTGTATGTGTATGTGTGTGTCTCCCTGACCTCCTCTTGGTTCATTTAAGGAAAGTTCAAGTCTGACAAAAGAAACCTTACTAAGAAATTGAAGAGAAAATAAAGAAGAAAACAAAAGAAGAAACAAAAGAAGAAAACACAAAGGCAGAGACCAATGTGTTTATAGAGATGACTCCCTCACTCTACAGTCACAAAAGCTTAGTCACAGACAGGGTTGGCTTGTAATTTGTCAAACAAAGTCTTCTTTCTGGAACACTGATGGAACTGGATGTTAGACCAATCTATTCTTGTGTCTGACCTCAAGGGGATTCAGGAAAGCATGGCTTCGGAGTTTGGTGAGATTCCTGGCCCCCACTCCTTTTGGCCTGGTTTCCCAGCAGAGCCACGGTCCCTCCATACATGAGCTACTTGCCCCTAGAGCTCTGCTGCCTCCACGGGTTCTCTGTGCAAAGGGGAAACATTCACACACACTGAGGGCCTGTTCCAAGCTAGGCATCACACCAAGGGTACCTAATGCATTTTATTTCATCTTCCTAACAACTCTATGGTAAGGGTTATTATACTGAATTTTAGAAAGGAGTCATTGAAAGATTTCAAGCCAAGGAAATGGCATGGTCTTACTATATTAGTCTTTCAGAAAGATTACTCTGTCAGCCACAGGGAGACGGTAGATTAGAGGGGGTCAAGGCCGGGGACTGGGAGATGATCAATCAGCAGGTCACTGCAGAAATCCAGTCAAGAAATGATGACAGCCGGATCTGAGGCCGTGTTAGAGAAAAGGGAGCACAATGGAGAGGGACAGAGAAGACAGAATTAGCACAACTTAATGACCCGCTGCATCCAACAGGTGAGAAGGAGTTGTTAAGGCTAATTCTAAATATGGGAAAAATCTGCTGAGGATTAAGAATTATAGAGATCAAGATAAAACAGACTCCAGATTATGACATATATAATGCTTTTTAAAGAAATTAACCCATTGAGAAGAAATTGTTCATTAAAATAGTCAAGAATTCTCTTTAGAGGGTAGCCTCTCTATTTCCCCCTACAGTATTCCCTAGATTAGATCACTAAAAAGGACAAAGCTATCAGAAGCATTTTTAAAAAACTAAAATACCACATATCAAGTGCTTTTCAAGAGATAACATGTTTTGGTTGAATTCTGTAAGAATAGATAATGAAAAACAAGCTACTTGATATTTTTGTTTCTAACACAGTAAGAATTCTTGTGGTTTGAAGACTTGGGATTCTTTTGAATGTTGGCTCAGTGGGAAAAAAAAAAAAAGCTTTCCTTGTTTATTTATGAAGTGAGAATAAGTATGGTGTATTTTTCTTTGTGTCCTTGAGAAACTAACTTTACCCCCAAATTTAATAAGGCCAATGATAGATAACATTTTTCATCTTGATCACAGAACTGTATCTGCCTTATATAAAGCAAGGCATCGAAGCTTTCACATACTCTGAGGAAGTTGACAGCAGAAAAATACTCACGTAAGCCTGAAGATTATATCTTTCTTTCAGTGGTCAGCCAGCAGTTTCTCTGAATTCTTAAGAAGGTTCAACAGAATATCCAGAAATGTGACAGCAAGGATCTACAGTAAATAAAAACTTTAGTTATAACAAGGGTGTGACATGAAGTCTAGCTGTTCTATTAAACACAGACAAGCTGGTGGGGTCTGTGAATATTCTCCAGAAAATCTATGGGTAAGGCATCAATTTGCGAGGCCAGTAGTAACTGACAAGTGATAAAACAGGGAAAAAGGAGAACAGAAGGCCTCCTAAGGAGTGGCTCTGTTGCCCACAAACAAGAACGCATGGTCAGAAAGATAAAAGAAAAAGAATCAAATTATGTGCCATCAGCAGAGAACAAACTGGACTCTGAAAATCCATGCTAAGTCCCTGGAATTCAGAATGCACATTTTTCACATTATAAATGGTGCTTAGATCTCAGAGTAGCCCACAAGAGCATTTCTAGAAATAAAATGCTATTTGCATGGGGGGAAAAGTAAAAAGAACCAATACTTATATCTAAACCAAAGAGGACACATTTAAGAAAAAATATTTCTAATCCATCCTGAATGCTGGTACTTAAATCTCCCCATGAGATTGATCCTCTGCCCCCTTTGCTTTTCAGTGTGAAAGAAAAATTGGCCCAAATCTATCTGTAGCCTTTTCCACACGCCAGACCCTGCTTCTCCTGAAATGTGCTGCTGCCTCACCTTCATGCTCTTGCGGGGACCCCCTCAGGTTTCCCCTCTGCACTCAGACATCTCAAGTACCTTGTCTGCCCCACTGTACTCTTCTTGTGAGGGACTGTGGAACAAGGGCCATGTACAGGCAGTAGGGACCACAAAAAATCAGTACTAATTCATGAAACTAAGTTACTATGTGCTCAAAATATGGCAAATACTATGCTAAGTGGTAGGATATAAAGACTAAATCCCGAATTTGTAGCTCAGGTCGAGACTCAGATTAAGCTTTTACTGGTCATTCATGCTCAATTTTTATCAAATCCCTTTAAATAAACTTATATGAGAAATAATTAATGGTATTTTATGAGGCTCCATTTAAATACATTAAGTCAGGTTGTATCATAAGGGTTACCAGTGCTAGACTGGAAGATGAGGGCTGACAAATTTTATGTACCAATTTAGACAAACTTCAGATTACTGAGCTACTTAATTTCTTTGCACAAATATTCTGAATTCACCCAAAGTATAGTACCTTTACTTTCTTATCATGACCACTTGGGGCTGGATCTTCATGACTAAACCTCTAATAGATGATTTTCAATGTTAAAATGGTACAGGTGTTAGAATTCTGAAGATAGTAGGGTTCGCATTACGAAAAGGTCAAGCTTTGCTTCTCATTTGGAGACAGAATTATAGATTATATAGTTACCCCTTCAAATGACCTGTTAAATTCGTAAGAAAGTTCCTAAACTGGTGGTGACCAGAAGGGCAGTGGGTGGGGGATGGATTAAATAGGTGATGGGGATTTAGGAATGCACTTGTTGTGATGAGCACTGAGTGCTGTATGGAAGTGTTGAATCACTATATTGTATGCCCAAAATTAATATTACACTGTATGTTACCTAACTGGAATTTAAATAAAAACTTAAAAAAATTTCACAAGAAAGTTTCTTTAAATTCACAAGACAATGCTTCTGCCATTTTCTTCTGATGACAAGCCCCAAAAGAAAGTACATTTGATCAAATTGCAGATTTATGTAATTTCAAACTTATTATTACACAAATGCGTTAGACCTAATTATACTTGAAACCTCCAAGAAGATCTAAGACCCCAATTAGAAGTTAATCACTAGAAATCTATTAACAGCTTCTCAATAAGTTATGAAAGTGAGTAAAACTTAGAACACATATTAACTATGGTTCAAAGAGTGAAGAGGACTAAAGATTTTTAAATTAAACTTTTTGAGATAATTGTCGATTCACACGAAGTTGAAAGAAACAGTACACAGAGATCGTGTGTACTTTTACCCAGTTTCCCCTGATGTTACTATCTCACAATACTATAATATCACAACTAAGATACTGACATTGCTAATTAAGATCTAGAACATTTCCATCACCGCAGAGCTCTCTCATATTGCCCTTTTACAGCCACACCTACTTCCCTCCCACCCCCACCCCACCTTATCCCCTGGAAACCACTATCCTGTCTTCCAGTTCTAGAATTCTGTCATTTCAAGAATGTTATATAAATGGAACCATACAGTATGTAACCTTTTGGGTTTTTTTTCACTCAACATAATTCTCTGAGGATTCATTCAGGTTGTTGTGTATATCAATAGTATCATTTTTTCTATTGTGGAATAGTGTTCCATGGTATGAATGTACCACAGCTTGTTTAGCCATTCACCTTTTGAAGGACATGTGGTTGTCTCCAGTCTGGGGGTGTTATGTTAAAGCTTCTAAAACATTCAGGTACATATTTTTATGTGAACAAACATCTTCATTTCTCTAGGACAAATGGCCAGGAGTGCAACTGCTGGTATGGAGGCTTAAAGGTTTGGACTCAAAGACCGTTGATGGGGCGCCTGGGTGGCTCAGTCAGTTAAGTGTCTGCCTTCAGCTCAAGTTCTCATCCCAGGGTCTTGGGTTTGAGCCCTGCATCCAGCTCCCTGCTCAGCGGGGAGTCTGCTTGTCCCTCTGCCCTTCCCTCTACCTGTGCTCTCTCATGCTCTCTTGTGCTCTCTCTCTCAAATAAATAAAAATCTTAAAAAAAAAAAAAAAGAGTCAAGTCTGAAGGTGCCTACTGTCCCCATGCAAAAAAAGTAAAGGAAAGAAAAGAAAAGAAAAAAAGAAAGGTCTTCTTTGGGATCATCTGTCTGGATGGCTCAGGCAACCAGGACAGTGAGAGGTTTTTTATGGAAGAGTTTGTTGGATTAAGCATTAATAAGGGCCCTGGTATTTACCAAAGGTAGTGTGTAGTAAGAACCACTCCACAAGTAGAGTTAGAAACATGAATGTGTGATTATGAACACTGAACTGGTATCTTTCAAGATCCAAAGAGGGCTGAGTCTGTTCCCCTGTAAATGAACATAAAAGCGAAGCATAGCGAAGACTGCTTTTCAAGGTAGGAAGAGCAGGAGAGAGAGAGAGAGAGAGAAGATATGGTCTGACTTCCTGAGGGACTACTTTCCGGAGTGTACAATGCTCCAGAGACGCAGTTTTTCTAGTGTCAGAGGCTGTTTAAAGAGCTTGGCTACCTCTCCCAGAATGTATCTGGAGCTAGACTGCTGGGGTTTGAACACCGGTTCAGCTACTTACTAGTTGTGTGACTTAAGTACTCAAAAATTAATAGTTACTACCTTCCTGAGGATGGGCACAGCTCTGGGGAGACAGTTCTTTATGTACTGAAAACAGCCTGCGTGGAACATTGAGCACTGATCCCCTGCTAACAGAGCAGCATCTAGCAATGGGGTGACCTCTAGTGGAGAGTAAAGAAGTCCAAGAAAGGAAAAGAGAACTGGTTCCTGGCAGGGGAAAACCCACAAGAACAGTCAATTGTGGGAACAGTCAAGCCCCAGAAAATCCTCTCCTTGTTCACCATGTTCCTAAGGGACAGTGTCCATGAGGGACGGTGACTACTTCAGAGGCCAATTCCATGGGATTGTTAAAAGGAGAACTCTGGGTGGTCACGTCTTGGAGGGTTGGCACAGCCTAAAAGACTTCATGAGGATGGAGCCACTCATACTTGAGGATGGAGCAGTCTCCTAGATATCAGTAACAAGAGCTCCTAATACCACACAGCGCTTGTCTCAATCCAAATGACAAAACAATAAGGAGGTTTTAGTGGAAGCATGTGAGTCACTGACCTGATGGGAAGTTCTAGTTAATAATCGTTTTTTTATGTTAATATTGGGTCATAACTACATAACTTTAAGATAGTATTCTTGATGGTTAAGAGCTAATGGAGAAAACCTGTCGTATTTTAATATATACTCATTAAACCTAACTTTAAATTGGTCTTCTATATCTAATATCACCAACCATAATGTATTTACTTTTCATTTTGAAAGGCCACTGGGAAAGGCAAGACTAAGTGCCATATTCTTGGTTCAAATGGAATGACACTATGCCTACAAGCAACTTTGATTAGAGATCAAAGAACCAGACACTTCAGCAAAATGCAAGGGAAAAATGGCATACCTGGAGAGACACATTATCAGAGGGGACTGCCTACATTTTCTAAAGTCATAGAAAAGTACTAAAACTTAAGAGCATATACAGTAAATGGAAACCCAAATCTGGATTCTCTATACCTCATGTGGTTATTCTTAACCTTTTAAAAGGATACAGTTGTTTTAAAATATAAAAATAACTTCAAAGAACCATAAAATAAGAACTTCCAATGAAGTCATTAAATCCTGCTAGCACTTTAGAATTACTGTTCTTAAAATCCAAGTGCTGTACAGATCCAGATATTAGGCAAGGGGAAAAAGCCACATCTAAAAGAAATCTAGCTCTGCAGAAGTAAAAATTTTAACAATTTAATTCCTTCTCAAAACGTTAAAATATATTTTTTCAGCCTGCTTATCTTCAATAGCTGTATTTCCCTAATAGAGTGGTCTTAATAATTTCCAAGGCTCAGAGAGGTTAATGAGTCTAAGGCCACACTGCTGTTAAGAGTGGGCTTCAAATTTAGTCTACAATATTTCTAATATGCCATGCCACCTCTATATAGTTATCCAAGATAATCAGTAGAAATGGCTCATACAAAGCTCGGTTGCATGTTCACAACTGTTTGCAAAAATTCCTGCCAGACCTTGTCTCTAAAATGCAAGAAATGGGTCTGAGATGTCTGTGTATCTATCCTTGCAGATTACATAGTGCCTGGCACATTTTTTTTGAAATCAAGACATAGGAGAATCCAAATAATTCTTTGCGGATTATACACTCAATTAAGCTCATCTTAACAAGATTTCATTTTTTAAGATTTTATTTATTTGAGAGAGAGAGAGAAAGAGAGATTGAACATGAACAGGCTGAGGGGCAGAGGGAGAAGCAGACTCCCCACTGAGCGGGGAGCCCAATCCGGGGCTCGATCCTGGAACTCCAGAATCATGACCTGAACCGAAGGCAGACGCTTAACTGACTGAGCCACCCAGGCACCCCCATCTTAACTAGATTTTAAGGTAACATTTTTATGACCAATTCTATAATTTATTGTAAATTTATTAAGAAAATAAATATGAACAAAGAGAAGAAAATATAAGTTACCCATAATCCTACCAACTAGAAATAACTATTATTACTATTTTGGCACTATGGTCCTCCAGCCTTTTTTTTCCTGTATGAATATATATTTAATTCATACTATAAATATAAATGTTAAACTTTTTTACTTACTATATCATGAACATCCTTCCACGTTACCGGTCTTCCAAAAACAATTTTTATTGGTTGTATTCTATAATACTCTATAATTTTCCATAATTTTCTTACTAAATTCCTTAGTACATTAAGAAAAATTTGCTTTGCATTTTTCCTCTTACCCGAATTTAAACTCATTGACATTTTAAGCCAATCAAAACATAGTCTAAGAGGGGCGCCTGGGTGGCTCAGTTGGTCAAGTGACCACTCTTGGTTTCGGCTCAGGTCATGATCTCAGGTTCCTGGGATCAAGCCCTGCGTGGGGCTCCCTGCTCAGGGGGTACTCTGCTTGTCTACCCCTTTCTCTGCCCCTCCCCCTGCTCACTCTCTCTAAAATAAGTAAATCTTAAAAAAAAAAAAAAAAAGCATAGTCTAAGAGACTTTTAAAACAGTATTTTTGGTCAAAATCTGACTATCATAATAGATTCTCAGGCAATGTATTTAAAAGATGTGACACGGATCCAGTTATAATGTGGAATTAGTCTTTTTTTTTTTTTTAAAGATTTATTTATTTGAGAGAGAGAGCGCATGGGGGGCGGGGGAGGAACGAGGGAGTGGGAGAGAAATCTCAAGCAGACTCCCTGCTGAGACCCGAGTCCCACTTGGGGGGGGGGGGTTAGATCTCAGATGACCCTGAGATCATGACCTGAGCCAAAATCAAGAGTCGGATGGATGCTCAACCGAGTCACCCAGATGCCCCTAGTCTTACTTCTTTATGGACAGTAGTTTTACTTTGACAGCAATCTTGATGCAACGCTTGCTTTGCTCACAATAAAACGTCAAAGATTCTGGTGTACAGTTCATCTTAAACTACAGTTCACTTTAATTTGAATCCCTTTTAGAATCCTTACTTACCGATTTTTTGGAAGATTGTCTTAAAAGGGCCGGGGAAATAAATTCTCATAGATTGTATGGCTAGAATCTCAATTCTTACCCTTTGAGGTATCTGGGCAAAATATGTGGATATTTGTTTTGAGTTCTTAAAAAAGAAAAAAGGTAGCCCCCTTTTTGAAAGCATGGAAGTAAATTAAAAAACAGAATTGAGAATATTATCCTTTAGGCTATTCCAGCACCATGAAGAACATGTAAAGGAGGAAGTTTATAAGTAGAACCTTCTGAATTTTACTTCCAAGTCTCAAAAATAACTAACAGAAGTTCAAAAAGAGTAATTTTTAGATATATCTGGATCTACTATAGATACATTTTTACTTTACATCTCATTTTGTGGTATTTCCAAATCTAACTTGATTTGTTTAAAATTCTCAATGTTGTGATTTCTTCAATGCCAAGCTACCGATTACTTCATAATTAAAACTTTATTAAAGCAATAAAGGTGAGGTTAATTTGAAATGTGTGAATTACAGAATGCTACTAAAGGTCAGTTCATTATGTTTAAGTTCATATAATAACTGAAAGTAGGCTAATCAGGCATTACTTAGTAAACGTTCTCAGGAAAGAAAGCTTAATGAAATAAAAACAAGGATTTGTTCATATGTCTGCTATTACTATGCAACTGCTCAGCAACATGAGATACATAATATTTAACATTCATTAAGTTATTATATTCCAGGCACTATTTAAGTGTTTTTCCTGGAATGACTGATTTAATCCTCAGATAAGCCTTATATATAAGGTAAGTACTCATTTTATGGGCAAAAAAAAATGGTACCAAGTTTGCTTTCATAAGATTCTTTTTCATATAATTAATTAGTTTAGGAAATTTTTCATCAAAGATTACATAAAGGGAAACATTAGTCTAGCCCACACACTCTGAATTAACTCCTTATAATAATTTCATTCAAAGCAAATTTTTCGAACTGCAGAAAAATAAATACCTGGAAATGTTTCTTTCTTTACAGGAAACATCGGTCACATGTTTACAGGAAACATTCAGTCATATATTCTGAATTAACTCTTTGCAATCTTCTCAAAGTAATCTTTTCTAAGTGTGAGAAAACAACATCAAAATATTTGGAAGTATTTTCTACTTTATAGGAAGTGACTAAATTCCTGGAGTCATTATTCTCATGTATTTCTTACTCATTGGGATAGCGAGAAAATACTTGTCTAAATTTTTCTTTCTCATCATCAGAAAAAAAACAAAAAACAAAAAAAACAAGGATTTCTGATATATATTTCTTCCAGTGTTTGTGTCACTTGTATTTTTGCATTATTTTAACAGTTCAATTCAACTTTTGGAAAAATATTGGCTTAAAATAAAAATTAATTGTTCACAAATGGAGTACTGGTACCGTGGGTATTTTATTTTATTCTAATATCTTTCAATATTTTCCAAAATCTTTACTGTGTAATTTTAGCCTGTTTAAAATTCTTAGCAAGGGACTTGCCCCCATAGGGAAGTCTTCAGTTTATAATTTGTAATTATATAATAAAGATAGTAAGTAAGCACTGGAAGGTCAATCTGAAGTCTTTCATGCATATGTATTATTTTTGTAATAAAGTGATTTTTTTTTTTAAAAATCAGGTTTTTCCTGTAACAGCAGCACTTTATTTATGACCTAATGGTGCCACCTTGTGGCCTACCTGGGCTTCAAGTGCAACTTCAGCATCCAGGACAAGAATAGAGCAAGAGGAGGGAGCACCTTGGAAGTTTTTGTTTCGTTTTTTTCTTTTGTTTTTGTTTTTAAAGTTTACTTACTTACTTACTTATTTTAGTAATCTCTACACCCAATGTGGGGCTCAAACTCACAATCCTGATATCAAGAGACCAGTGCTCTACTGAATGAACTAGCCAGGCTCTCTTCTCTTTGTTTTATTTCAGTTACTTACCATTATCATTCTCAATAATTCTTAACAAGTGAAAATTCAGAGTTGAGATGAAGCTCAATTTTCCTTAAAAAAAAAAAAAGTTTACCTAACATGATGTTGCATGTCGATTATACCTCAATTAAAAAATTAACCAAGCAAATTAATAGCATAAATATGATTCCAGGACTATTCGGGATCTAAATCTCGTTAAACCCCTTAGCAGACTTCATTTATACAAAATTAAAGTGCTAAAAAAATGACATTCCTGGGGTGCCTGGGTGGCTCAGTCAGTTAAGCATCTGACTCTTGATTTTGGCTCAGGTCATAATTTCAGGGTTGTGAAACCGAGATTCTCTCTCCCTCTGCCCCTCCCCCCTCTAAAAAAATGACATTCCTACTATTCATTTATTTGGTGTTATTTAAAAATACAGGAACTACAACGGTGTAAATTACTCATTTTCTAAATAGTTCACAAAATGTAAACCAGATTCACCTCAAACAGTTTGAAGGCACAAGACTCTGTTCTTAGGAGAAACTTGAATACTTCCATAAAGTTTTTATGGCCAGGAAGGCCATTTAGGATTATCCAACCCAATCTCCTTATTTTACATATAAGGATACTGAGAATCAGAAAAGCTGTAACTTAACATGCTACTTTATAAGCAAACTACCCCTTACCCTCAAGATTCTAGCTCCATTCATGATTCACAGTGGAAATACAAGGTATGTTATCTTCAACATAACAGTTTGTCACAATTCTATTGTAATCTGTCCCCATCTAGTACTTTAAATTGTGCACCAGATGGATGCTAGAACGTACAGCATCCTTCACACAAAACATCCATTCTAGTGACATAGGATGGACAAGGGCCCTCCCTAGGCTATACAAGCCCACAGAGGATCTCGTTGACTTCTTTTGAGGTGTGCTCTGATTGCATGTGAAGCTACGTGAATCGCTGTGGTCTAGAGCTCCATACTGCTTACAGCGATGTCCTGTGTAGACCCTTAAAATTCAAGAACTCCTGACACATCATTATTAGACCCACATCTTACCTCACTTATTCCAACCTCTAGGGACCCTGGTAAATAAGCATATACGATGAAAAAAATGACTGAAGAGAGAACTAGGGAACCAACTTAACCAAATAGCCTCTAAAAATGGCATGGTTATGTATAGCCACAAAAGGACCACCATTTGGGGTGTGAGACATTTCCTCTTTTTCCTTAATTCCCTAAGAATCAAGGATAAGACCTTTGGTAGGAAGCGAGTAAAAGATGAAGAGTAGACATCTGAGACTTTAAGGGAAGCCTTTGTTTCCTTGCCTGCTGCCCCCTCCTTTGGACTAGGGGCAACCTATTTGGGAGAGGCATCTTCTGATACCCAGAGAAAAGAAAATAGGGAATGACATACAAATGACTCTAGGTTCAAGAAAAGAGAAATAGGGATTCTTTTTTCCCTAAATTTTTTAGCCCATTTTAGGAGGATTAAAAATAAGAATTACAGGAAGAAGTTGTATTTTTTGGCTGGCGCTTTCCTCATGCTGCCACTTAGGAACCTAAAATGCGGGGCACAAAGTGGGAAATGCCAGTATTCTAAGGCAGAGCTGAATTGGCAGTCTTGATAGCTTCGTCAATAGAACAGTAATTCCGAGTGAAAAGGACAATGAATTATAGCAATCTTCTTTCCAACTGAGACCTGGCCCCCACAAAACCTCTCCTGTTAAAATGGCAGATCTGTGAGTTGGCTCAGTTTAAGTCTATGTACTCAGAGTTCTAGGGAATCTTTCAGAAACGGGAGTAGGGCTGGTAAATCCCTGTATCAGTTTCCCATGGAACTATTTTTACAGACTGTCCAGAGTCCCAGGTCATTGGGACCAACATGAGAAAAAGTGGTTAGTGACTAAGGATCTCTAGTTTTCAGCTACATGGCTCTTCATATAATTCCCTTGGTATGTCCCAAGATGTAAATACTTAAAAGTTTTAAAAATACCCCTAAACCCCACGATATATTATCAAAAATACTTAATAACAGCACTAAATATTAGCACACCACAACGCTGAGAACCAGTACTGCAGTTATTAATGCTAGGCATTTTACATTTAAAATTTAAATAGCCACAATACTGGATAATGTAACTCTTAATATACAACAAATTTCTGTCAACATACGTCTGTTTCTGGCTCTCTACTCTGTTCTAATAGTCTATGGGATATATACGTAACAATATCACAATGTCTTTCTGTCAAATAAATAAAATCTTAAAAAAACAATTATTTGCAATCTTTTTTTTTTTTTTGAAGATTTTTATTTATTTGACAGAGAGAAAGACAGTGAGAGAAGGAGCACAAACAGGGGGAGTGGGAGAGGGAGAAGCAGGCTTCCCACTGAGCAGGGAGCCTGATGGCTCGATCCCAGGACCCTGGGATCATGACCTGAGCTGAAGGCAGATGCTTAATGACTGAGCCACCCAGGTGCCCCTATTTGCAATCTTCTATCCCATCTGAGTGTCAGGATTATTTTGACATGGAAATTTCATTTACTATACCAAGTCATACCCTTGAAGATGAACTATCTGGGTATTCTTTGCTATCTTTTAATACATTTTTATAATTTTCACCATGAAGGTTTTATATATCTTTTATACATTTTATTTTTTAAAAACTTACTGTTTTTATTTCTGCTGTGACTGAGGTCTTTTTTTTACTACAGCTTTAATTTGGTTATTACCAGTACAAAGAATGAAACTGATGCATATGTGCTGACTCACATCAGCAACCCTGCTGAATTCTTACTAACTCTATTAATACATCTGTAGGTTCTCTTGAATTTTCTATGTATGACTGTATTACTTACATAAGTACAGTGTGTTAGTTTAAAAACATGCCTGCAAATTCTTCACTACATCTTTCTTCAAGAGCTTGAGTTAAAATACCCTCCCCCTGAGTATGGGCTTACTAATTCACTACTAACAAATAGGATATGGTAGAAGTGGCTCGTAAGACAGGTCATAAATTAGACAATCCTCCTTACTCTCTCATGGATTGCTCACTCTGAAACAAGCCAGCTGCCATGTCATGAGGGCACCCAAGCAGTACTACAGAGGTTCCTGTGATGAAGCACTACCAGTAGACAGCAAGGAACCAAGGCTTTTTGCCAACAGTCTTGTGAGTGAGCCACCTTGGAAAAGATCCTCCAGACCCAGCCAGCCAAGCCTTCACATGGCTAGCCCTGGCTGAAATCTTGACTGAAATACTCTGAGCCTGAACCATTCAGCTAAGCCACTTTCAAATTCCTGACCCACAGACATTATTTTAAACTTTTCCAATTTATTGGCATGTTATTCATTACATACGCTCATGACTAAAAAATCTCTATTATATCTGCATTGTTTCTGATGCTGTTTATTTGTGCTTTTTCTTGTTTTGTTTTTCTTTCCTAGATCATTATTGGGAGAAGTCTGTAATAGTTTTTTAAAGAACCAATTCTGGGGTGCCTGGGTAGCTCAGTTGGTTAAGTGGCCAACTCTTGATTTCGGCTCAGGTCATGATCTCACAGTCCTGGCATTGAGCCCTGCATCCCCATCCGGCTCCAAGTTCAGTGGGGAGTCTGCTTGAGGGTTCTTTCTGTGCACAACCAGCACTCTATTTGTTGAATGAAGCATGTATATTTAAACTGGTCTTAAAAAGATGGAGTTGGGGAGGAGGGGAAAGTGTGCCAGATCCTTAGGAGAATGAAGAGAGCAGTATCAGGGAAATTAAGCTAAGGAAGACTGCTTGAAGCCTAATGGCAAAGGGGCCTTGAATCGAAGAATCTGTATCTGGTTGCAGTGTAGATGGTGATTGGGAGTTTGGTAGGACGACATCTGTTAAGATAATAAAGACAAGGAGGGCACTGGTGGACCTGGCTGGCTCAGTCGAAGAGCATGCGACTCGATCTCAGGGTTGGGTTTGAGCCCCATGTTGAATGTACAGATTACTAAAAAAAATTAACTTAAAAAAAAAAAGACAGGAAGGTAAGGTTACTGCACCAATACAGTACCTCTCCCTCTCCCTTTGCCCCTCTCCCTGCATGGGTGTGCTTGCTCTCTCTCAAATAAATAATCTTAAAAAGAACCAGTTCTGCTGTTTTACTGCTGCTGGTTTCTCTTAATTTCTTCTACTTTAAATTTTGTA